CACATCACACCATGCCATGCCATGCCACACCACATCAGACCACACCACAGCATACCACATCACACCATGCCATGCCACACCACACCACACCATACCACACCATGCCACCCTCTGCTGGAGCACACAGCTTCTGGGCTCCTGTGGATCATATATTCATAGCTTCAGCAATAAACTAAAGGGGCAGTTTAAAATAAAAGAAGGCAGTCTATTGAGGAAACAGTGAAACACAGAAGATAGACAGCTACTGTGGAAAAGTTGGGAGCCTCAGAAGTGAGCACCGTTGGGTTTGTCCTGGGCTCCTTTCATGCAGCATGAGTGACTTCATTATCCCCTAGGTGGGCACTAGTAAGGTGTTGCCATCTGTTGGCTGTCTGCTTGTCTTTGATGCTAGCCTGAGCACCTCTATCCACGTTCTGCTTGGGTTTTTGCTTGTTCCTCTGTGATAGATAAATGGTGACAGTGCTGGGGCTTTGCAGAGAGTAACAGAGTAGATGAGCAAGCAGAGAGGATGTGTGTGCATTTGGTGCAGGCAGAATGGTGCTGAAGTGAGAGCATTCTTCTAACTGTATGGGCAGGTGTGTGAGTCTTTGGCATAGTAAATAAGCGTCTTTATGTAGCTCCTCCTGATCATCTTTGCATTTTACCAAAGGTGGATGAGAAGGCTGGTTTTCCTGGTCTTTCTAGTGTCTAGCTTCCTCTTTGCTTTGTTAATGCTTTCTAATAAATTACTACAGTGAATGTGCTACCTGGTGCCTCTCTGAGTGTAGTCTCTCTGCCTCTGTCTCTGTCTCTCTGTCTTTGTTTGTCTCTACCTCTGTCTCTCTCTATGTCTGTCACTGTCTATGTCTCTGTCTCTCTCTGTCTCTGTCTGTCTCTGTCTCTCTGTCTCTGTACCTCTCTGTCTCTCTTTCTCTTTCTCTCACTCTGTCTCCTTTTGAATTGCTTTAACTGTAGACAGTACCTGTAGAGGCAAAAGCTGTCTGTAATAATATTTCACATTATCTTTTAGTAAAGCCTATCTTTTCCCTGCCTGCAATTCATTTTTCTCTGTAGTAAGGGGAAGAATTCAGATATGAAATCTCTCTTATTTTTGTGCAGGGTCTCACTACGCAGTTTGGACTTATAGTGATCCTCCTGTTTCAGCCTCCCTAGTGCTGGGATTACAAGGGTGCGCCATCATGCCCAGACTCCATTGCCAACTTAGTGCTCCCAGGTGCAGGGCTGGTGCAGCATGCAGTGCCAGGGGTTGAACTCTGGCCTCTGTGCTTACCTAAGCAAGAGCTTAGTCCGCTGAGTTATCTTGCTAGCCCTGAGAGCTCCTGAATATGAAGAAAATGATGGCTCTTTCTTCTTCTCATTATTTGTCCAGCATAGAAATCACCTCAGTGCCTCACCTTCTTACCCCTTTCTCACCTGTGCATGCAGGCTCTCAGTTTCATCTTTGACTCTGACAGTCCAAGGACTCACACAGGCTTCTGAAGATCAAACTGTTTTCTCCCTCCTGGGGTACAGTGAAGGCACCTTTGCCCCTGCCCTGTGGTGTGGGGTATCATGTGAATGTCATTTCTACTTACTTCCTGTGCATCGTCCTCACAGGCGTGACTCAGGGCTCTTGCTCCTCCTTCCCACCACACCTTCAAACAGACAGCAGTGCCTGCCCTGGGGCCTCACTTGGCTTCTGTTTGTTCCTACAAGTGTTCTCTATTTTAGGAGGAGAAATGAGACCTTTGTCATTGACCATGAGCTCTTCCTTCATAGCAGCCCCCAAAGACTATTTTCAATACAATGCCAGCAGCCATTGCAGATTATCCTTACAGAAGGACAATCGTTTGGGTTTCCAGGCTGAGTTTCCTGGCCTTATTATCTTCTGTACCTATCCCCAGCACATTGTTTATTCTACTCAAAAACCCAGGATTAGTATTGTTTTCTGTGAAGTGAATTTCATCATCTGAACCATCCTTAGCAACCACACTATGAATAATGATGTATTTATTTAACATACTTCATCTTCATCAAAATGTAGAATAACTGCAAGGTGTGGGTGCTTCATCCCAACTGTTTTTGGGAAGTGCAGTAGAGTATGGAGGAGTTCATGAGCTGAGGGATGTGCGGAGGTGCTGGAGGTCCTAGAAGTTGTGGTCCTGCAGGAGCTCTGACAGGGCTCAGGGACACGCAGAGCTGAGAGTTTCCAGGGTAGGTCTGGGGGTAGCAGAAGGGAGCGAAGGCTGACCAAGCTCCTAAAGTTAAACTGGGAAGCTGAGAAGACTCAGCCAGATGAGAGGATGACAGGGATTGTCACTAGCAAGGCAGGGGCACAGAAGTTTCGTGGTTTTCTTTCAGGAGGACTCATCTATTTTTACTGTGGTTTGATCTACTAGCATAATGACCTAACATTATTCGCTGTGTTGCATTTTTTAATTTGTCCACAACGCTTAAAACTATTTCATACAGAATGAGTTGCACCTTTGCAGACTCTAGACTTTGAAGTGCTATCCTGGGGGAGAGAGAGACTGCTGAGGTGACAACCTCTAAATGAGAGTCTTAGGAGGGTCCTGATGCAGTAAATCTGCTGTCCTGAGGAGAAGACATTAGGACCCAGACAGGGCAGTGTGCTCGGTAATGAACACATGTGGACATGGTGAGCAGGCCCCATCTCCAATCCAGGGACAGAGGCCTCAGAAAACTAGACCTGCTGACCTGTGGAGCTTAGTTTCCCAGTCTCCAAAACAGGGAGAATGAATTTGTGTCATGGAAGCTATGTTGTCGGATTTTTTTTTTTTTACAGAAGTCCTGGAGATTAATACAAATTCTATGTCTCCATTTTCCTACAGCACCTAAAATTAACTATCCATTAAAATTTTTTTAAAAAATTAAATAAAAGTCATTTTGGCTGGGCAGATAGCTTGGTTCCTGCCTCTCAAGTGCAAGTACTGGGTTTGATCCCAGTTCTGCATGCTGTGCCAGCCCTGGAGCCCCGGGTGTGCTATCCTGACCACTGAAACCAGGCATGGTAGCATATGCCCATAATTCTGGCTCTGGGGAGGCTGGGATAGGAGGGACAGTACGAGTCTGGGCAGTGGAGGGAGACTCTGTACCAAATAATATAAAAAATACAAAATAAAAATTACCTTTAAAAATAGTTGCATATTGTTAGTTCAGATATAAACTGAGCTGGGGTAAGAGTCCCAGAAGAGCAGTAGAGAGGTATATAACTTTCTTTCCACGCACTGGAGGCCCTGGGAATGATCCAGGGTCAGTGTAGCCTCACTGTGGTGTCAGGCCCGGGTCCATGCTGACATTGGCTGTATTGTGCTTGAGGTTTTCCTTCTGCCCATCATCCAAAGCAGCCCAGCCTACGACCACCTTCAGCAGCAGAAAGGGCAGCACCTGCCCTTGAGGACTGGTCTGAGAGGGCAGCCTCCTGGATCTTCCTCACCTTGGTCAGATCCCCGTCACCCAGTCGTAGCTTTTTGTTTTGGACACAGAAATCAACAGAGAAGGAAAGATTCCAGGGCTGAGGAGAAAGGGAAATTGCTTTCCAAAGCACTCCATAATCAGTAGATAATAAAAGTAGGGGGTTGATCTGTCATGTCGGTTCTCAGCTTACTATCAGCATTTCTACTGAAGTTATTGGTCATGTTGCCGACTTTGTCCCTCCCCAGTCGGCCCGTTGTGATGCAGCAGGAAGCTGAGCAGAGCACTGTTGCTGCTTCCCCACTTTCCAATGTGTAAAATGAAAGGCGTCGTGAGACATTTCCCAGGTTCCTTCAAGAAATTTCAGTGACCCTGAATCTTGAATTGAGGTATAAGATATAAATATAATATGTAACAAATGTTATAGTAATTAATTACAGCTATCCAATTGCTAGTCAGATGCTTAAAATAAAACCCCAAAAAACAGAAAGCAAACATTCAAAATAGTAGAGCTAATGACCCTGGGCAGCTCATGGATACTAAGCCACAGGGTGGTGGCAACTGAGACATTGCTCTTTATTTTCTTGCTAAAACCCCTGTGAGGAGAAATGGAACCCAGGCGGCACTGTCTGTATTTTTTGTCCTTCTTTTTTTTTCGTATATTTTTTTCATTCCAATAAAGAAAGACAGGTGGGAATATTGGCTCCTGTGCATTCAAACGTTGTTGGAAAATAAGGAAACTTCTGTAATACTGATAATTTTTTAAGCGAAAAAACTGGACTATCTCAATAGTAAAGATGTATGCAAAAGGTGTAAGGTGTTGATGTGACTCGGCCCGCGTGTCAAGACGTGGGGTAATGACCTGGAGGAGGAACAGGGATGAACAAGACAAGGTAAGAGACATGAGAGACAGAGACAAGACAGGCTTTCTGATCAAGTCTCAATTATTGAGGAAGTGAGCAGGGTCTAAGTAGTCGTATAGTGGAAGCAGTTGGGTGGGACTAGTTGTGGATTGGTAGTGGAGGTCCAGGACCACAGGAAGATGTCGAGGCAAGTGGGGATTGGTGCTACAGCACTTCTTGCCCAAATAAGGGAAAATATAACAGGAGCATTCTATTGTCCCCCACATATCCCCCCTTTTTATTAAATACATCAAGCAGGAAATTGATAGTACCCTGCGGGAACAATGCCTGGCTTGGGTCAAGGACTCCTTCACATGAGATCGACCAAACCTTACCCGTCTTGGGATCTCAGGGCGGCAGTAGGCCCTGTTTCTGTCTTTGGTGGTTGGCGGCACTGCATGTGGGTCCTAGTTGCCCATCATTGACTACTTGTCCGTCTCACCAGGGGGACCTATATCAGAGTAGGCCACATTATTACAAGGTCCATTTGAGGGAACCTTCTCATGATACTCTTGTTGATCTGCCATTTCCAGCTGATGATAATGTATCTGAATGGGCTTCGCAGCAAAGGCATCTAAACATGAGCTGATGAATGCTGTAAGCTTTTGAAAAATGCAAGGTCCTATCATGAGCAACAGTAGGAGCGAGAAGAGGGGTCCCAAGAGGGGCACAAGATAAGTGAACATCCCTCCCCACAACAAGGAGAAGGGGTCGTCCGCAAGCTCTTGTCTCCACTTGAGTAGTTGATCCTGAAGCTCTCAGATTTTGTCTCGAACTATGCCTGATTTATTAACATAAAAACAACACCTTTCTTGTAAAGCAAGACATATTCCCACATGCTCTGCTGTCAGAAGGTCCAAGCCTCTCTTTTGCAAGACCACTTCTGCTAGCGAATCTATCTGGTCTTGGATATCTTGGATAGTACCAGATAATGCTCGAACATCATCAATCAGCTGGTTAGATAATTTAGTATAAGAATGTACTGCTACCCCCAACCCTGCTGAACCTGTCCCCATGGCCGCTGTGACTCCCAGCCCCACTAGTAAGGGGATGAATTGGACTGCCCTTTTTGTGTGTCCCGCAATATACTCTAGACTGGGAAGGGGTACAGGATCATTGCCAGAGATGACATCTATATCAGGCAGTATGATTGCCATGACACACAGTCCTGTCCAGTTGGTAGGTAGGTACGTAAAAGCCAAGCTTCCTCCACATACAAACACATGTCCTTCTTTGGGGCAAATAGGGCTACTGTAGTTAAGTATTTGACTACAACTAGTGAAGGTAACAAACCCAACATCAACAGTGAAGATATCACTGTGAAAGTTTTCTTGACTACAAAAAGACTTTTCGAAGATTACAGGTTGGACTCTAAAAGGGAGGTTAACACTACAGTTTGTGTTTTGGGGGTTTATGATGTCTTGTGAGATATAGATTAGAAGGGAGAGCAAGGGGCATAGGAGTGCCTAAGGTCGTGCATAGCCAACAATTTTGGGCTAAGCTTGGGTTGGAAGCATAAAGGGCTTTGTGTGTGACCTCTAGAATATCTAAGGTTTGAGTATCTAAATCTACTCCTCATGACTTGGGGAGTGCTAGTGGATGATAATTTATCTTAGGGAACATTTGTTCCATAATTTGTTCCAGGTGTTTTTGGACTTGTAACTCTCTAACAGTATCTTGGGGTCCACCGCCATCTGAAACATATATTGGGAGAAACTTGTTCCAGCAGATAGGCTCTCCAGGGGTGCCGGAGCATGAAGCCTGGGCATACTTAAGTTTACCAAGCACTGTGGGGGTGTTGGTCCAGTCACCTCCTATGGTACCACGGTAAGTCCTCTGAAGGATGGCCGTAAAATAAGTTTGTCCATCGATGGCTGTGCATTCTTGTAGGGAGTCATAACATGAGATATGCATCTCAGCTTGGAAGGAGCTGCATTTTTTCGGGCAAGACCTTGGTCTGCCATTAATATTTGGTATTATATGAGTTTTATTATAGCATTCCCAACTCTGGGAATGGCCTCCTCCCAATCAGGGTGAAAATGTAAGAAAGGCTATTTTATTGCCTCAATCAGTGCTTTGAGTAAAGGTGGTGGGTTTAACCTTGAGAGTACCTCCTCTGCACTCGCATGGAGGGCCGTATAATATTCTTAATAGTTCTTGAGGGTTTACCTCTTGGAAGCCACCTTCGAGGACCCATGGCCAGGTCTGCAGTATTCCCAATAACAGGATCTAGACCTTCATATTCTGTAAGTAAAAATAAGAAAATTTTCTCAGGGCTCGCCTTCATCCCTGGAAGTATCTATGAGATTATCTTTTGTGCATTGGGCCTGGTCAATTTGTTTAACCGAACGTTCTGGTAGCCATCTTGCAGATTTTGCATGTTGAGGATAAATGCACACTGATCCTCTTCCCCATATAAGAACTGGATCAGGACCATTCCAAGTGCCAGTCAGGGGGGCTCGCCACATGACCGAGGCGAATTGACTCTGTGTTTGAGTATGCCAAAAGCGAGATGCTGCAGAACGACGATTAGCATCCAGGATCAAAAAATTGAGAGTGAAGAGTGCATGGGATACTATATTTCTGGGGGACCCTTGAGTAGGATACCAATCTCCCCCTTTTATTTTGTTAATGGTGAGCTTTAATGAGAAGTGTGCTCTTTTAACAATATCTTGTCCTTGGGGATTATATGGTATACCTGTAGTGTGAAGAATATTGAGTGTCTTACAAAATTGAACAAAAGCAACACTGGTGTAACCTGGACCATTATCGGTTTTTAGTTGCTGGGGGCACCCCAAAACTGAGAAGGCAGTCAGTATGTGAGCAATAACATGCTTTGTAGCCTCACCCGCTTGAAGGGAGGCATAAATAAATCTACTATAAGTATCAACAATTATATGGACATATTTTAATTTACCAAATTCTGTTATGTGAGTAACATCCATCTGCCACAATGCATTAGGTACCAACCCCCTAGGGTTTATACCTAGATGAGGTACAGGGAGATTTATAGCACAAGAGGGACAATTTTTAACAATCTGTCTGACCTGAACATGAGTTATTTTGTGCATAAGCCGAAGGGTTTGTGCATTTAGGTCATATAACTGATGGCTATGTTGAGCAGCAAGCACACTATCACCAGAGCAATCAGCATGGATGTCATTTAGGATGGTGGTGAAAACCTGAGCTCAAGTGGCCAAATCAGCTTTTTGGTTCCCTTCTGCTAAGGGTCTGGGCAGGTTAGTATGAGTTCTCAAAAGTCCCATGAAGAATGGATGTTTTTGAAAGTGAATTAGCATTTGTAGTTGTCTAAACAGATTAGCAGCTGGAGAAGTCCTACAGATAGCACCAACTGTTTCAAGAGAGGTACGGATTGGGCGAGATAGGCACTGTCAGTGTATATATTGAGGGGCTGAGTTGGAAAGGCATTAAAAACAGCCATGACAGCTTGTTGTTCTGCCAATTGTGCTGAAGAAGAATTTGTTTGAAAGGTGACAACACTATCCTGAAATGCATAAGCTGCTGTACCTGAAGATGAACCATCAGTAAATAACAATAGGGCTTTAGGAATTGGTTTGAAAACTGTGACTTTTAGGAAAACAAGTGCATGACAATTGGCGAAGTCAGCAAGCTTATTGGGGGGGGGGGGTAATGATTATCAATAAGTCCCGTAAAAGAAGCCAAGGCAATAGGCCAGGCTTCAGTGGTCTGAAGCAGCCAATCTATTTGTTCTTTGGTATATGGTTGAATAATAACATCTGGCTCCTTTCCAAAATAACATCTGCCTTGCTTTCTGCCCAAAATAATAAGGTCAGAGACAGCCTGATAATATGGCTCAATAGTCCTTTTTGGAGAAATAGGCAAGTGTATCCACATTAAAGGTGCAGTTTGCCAGAAAACTGCAGTTGGGGAATGTTTTGTATTGCATATAAGAAATTGCAAGGGTCTATCACAATCTATAAAAGAAATGGTTTGGTCAGAAATGGCCTGTTCTACCAGGGAAATAGCCTGTCCGCCTTTTGGGGTAATCTCTTGAGGGGAAGTGGGATCAGAGTCTCCTTGCAATATATCATAAAGAGGTTTTAAATCATATTTACTTATTTTTAAGTATGGGGTAAGCCAATTGATATCCCCCGACAGTTTTTGAAAATCACTTAGAGTTTTAAGATCGTCAAGCCTGAATTGGGATCTCTGAGAGAAGACCTGAAAACCTTTCATCTGGAAACCTAGGAAAGTATAAGGATCTGTCAATTGTATTTTATCTGGAGCAATTTGGAGTCCTTTTTCTCCTAAGGCTGTCTGGAGTTCTTGGTAGCATCGCAAGGTTTTATCTGTTTTGAGTCCTGAGACCAGAACATCATCCATATAATGAATAATGTACATATGTGGCCAATGATTCCTGACCGATTGTAAGGCAGAGGCTATAAAGGATTGGCACAAAGTAGGACTATTTGCCATCCCTTGTGGTAAGACGCACCATTGAAATCTCTGCATGGGCGCTTTAAAATTAAGAGCAGGTAAGCTAAAGGCAAAACACTTTTGATCTTCTGGATGCAAAGGAATTGTGAAGAAACAGTCTTTTAAATCTACAATAATCTTAAAATAATGTAATGGTATAACAACTGGGGACGGGAGACCTGGCTGAAGAGCCCCCATAGGGGCCATGGTTTTATTAATGGCTCTAAGATCTTGTAACAGGCACCATTTACCTGATTTCTTTTTTATGGCAAAAATAGGTGTATTCCATGGAGAATTGCTGGGGATAATATGGCCAGCGGCAAGCTGTTCCTGCACCAGCTGTTGGACCACTATTAGTTTTGAGGTTGGAAGGGGCTATTGATCGACCCACACAGGTTGATCAGAAAGCCAGGTGATTTTTTTCTGCATGAGTCACAGGAGAATCAATGACCCCTATGGAAAATGGCCTAATCCTGCTCTGGTTAAATTAGGGACAGAAGCAATAGGAGTTTTGATGCCTGTGCCCAATCTTCCAAGACCTTGTCCCAGGGAGAAACCACTATTAAGCATCTGGGCTGTAACTATAGTGTTGGGGCTGCCCGTGATCAATCCCAATTGTGACAGAAAGTCCCTGCCCCATAAATTAAGTGGCAGATTTGCCATTACATATGGCTGTATGCTACCTTGGTTACCTTTTTGATCTTTTCAGGTCAACATCTGTGGACTTTGTGATTGACAATGCCTTGCAAATGTGTTAGGGTGGCAGTCAAGGGCCAATTAGTGGGCCAATCCTCTTTCCTAATAATTGTGACATTAGCACCTGTATCAATAAGTCTTGAAAAACTCTTGCCGTTTAACCATAAGGTCATGAGTGGCTTTTGACTAGAAACATATTGTGCCCAATAAACATCTGAGGACCCAGACCCCCTGTTACCCCTGTGGGTGGAGATTGACTGATTGGTGGTAGACACCAGTGGCAGCAACAACAACTGAGCAAAACGTTGACCTGCTTTGATGGGCGTGACATTGTTGGGTGAGGAGACCATGACCTTAATCTCACCATCGTAATCATTGTCTACAACTCCAGGGGAGACATGAAGTCCCTCAAAAGTAGAACTACTATGCCCTATGATAAGGCCAAACATACCCTGAGGTGGGGGGACAAAAACTCCAGTGGAAATGGATTGGGTTCCCATGTCAGGGGTTAATATTGTGTCAGAGGTGGAACTGAGGTCCAGTCCTGCACTTCCTGGGGTTGCCCTGACAAGGTTTGAAATGGATTGTTTTTTGCTGGCACAAATCCTGTCGCCCCAAGAAATTGCTTGGGTGTGGGGCCCTGGGGCTGGCCCCATGTCCCGTTTCCCAGCTGCTGTAGGAGCAGAGGGTTTCCATAAGTGTCTCTTTTGGATCTACATTCTCTAGCCCAGTGCTCACCTCGTTTACATCTGGGGCATAACCCAGGTCTTTTTACTTGAGCTTGGGTTTTGTTATTTTTTCCTTTATAATTTTTTGCTATATGACCAGGCTGACCACAAGTAAAGCAATTGTTATTCTGCCTCTGGCGGTGAAGGAGTTGATCAACTGTACAACCCTGTAGAGCTTCAGCCATAGCCAAGCCTTGACGATAGGGAGGTCCAATGTCTGCATATAAATGTACGTAACCGGACAAATCACTCTTTTTTCTGTGAGGTCTAATCGCAGCCTGGCAGGATGAGTTGGCATTTTCAAAAGTAAGTTGTTTAACAATGTCGGAGGCTGCATCGGCAGTGCCAAAAAGGTGCTCAGTGGCCTATAAAAGGTGATTCACAAAACCTGAAAAGGGCTCTTCTGGTCCTTGTTGAATTTTTGCAAATGGGGAAGTTGCCTCCCCTTCTACAGGGAGCTTTTTCCATGCTCTAGTCACAGCAAAATTAATTTGAGCAAAAAGACCAGCGTCGTAGCGCATCTGAGCTTCCTTAGTGGAACAGTCACCTGTGCCGGTAAGCATGGCAAAAGTCCAAGGATCACCATTATCAGCATTGTTTTTTGCCATAATTTCACATTGCTCAAAAAAGTCAGATTTCCATAAGAGGTAATTTCCTCCCCGAAAGAGTTGCTCTAGCTAAGTCTAGCCAGTACTTTGGAGTAATCCAGCCCTGAGTCATAGAATCGAGGACAGCGATGGTATAAGCTGCAGTACGGCCATATTGAGCAACTGCGGTTTTTAGTTCTTTCAATACATTTACAGCAAAAGGGGCATGGGCTCTAACAGCCCGAGGCTCGGCCCCATTTTGGCTGGGGGCCATCATTTGTGAAACCGGAAATGCCATTTTGGATAGAAGCTTATCATGTTTAGGCACCATTTTGGGCAGGGGCCTACTGAGCCCAGGTGCCATTTTAGGGGTGCCACGTGTCTGATCAGCCTGCAAAGATTGTAAATGTAATATAAGCCTCTCAAACAGTCAATTTTCCAGGTCCAAAAGCACATTGGAAGATTGAGGAGCAAATGTGGACAGTTCACTATTATCAGGAGGCGGTTTTGTAGCAACTGGTGCTGCAACGGGGTCAGGACGGTATTTGGAAGCCTCTTTGGCTAAGTCTTCCCAACTGACCTCTTGTAAAGTAGTAAGGTCGGAGGAGGCGGCAAAAGTTCAGAAGGGGGAGGCGGCAGCTGCTCGTTATCTTGGGGTTTAGTTAACACTTCATTTGCCTCCTCTCCATGGAGAGAGGAGACATCTAAACCAGCCTGGGAAGGGGCTGGAGTGGGCCTATTTGAGTTATGCAGGACAGCTTCTCCGTGGGTAATCATTTCCCTGACCAAAGGGTCTCTATGTCTCTGCGTAAGAATCTCATCAGTCAAGCCCCAGTATGAAAATGCTGTGCTTGGGACCTTTTCAGGACCAAAAACTCTATAATAATCTTGTAATGCATCACCTACTCGTTTTCATCTTTTAGAAGCTATTGTGCCCTCCAACGGAAACCATGGGCAAACCTCATGAATAAACTTAAAATACTGTAATAATTCCTTTTCCTTTACCTTAATCCCTCATGTCTTGAGTGCCTTACTGAGGCTTTCCACAAAGAGTTCATGCTCGCTTAATGCTTGACCCATGCTGGAAAGGGGAAGGAGGTTGTCATTCATTCACCGTGGCTCGAGCGGTGCGGCAGGCACTCGCGTGGTGTTGGCCTTGGAATTTACTTTTACTATCTGCTTTGTAGCCAGCGCTCTCGAACGGCTCCCTCGTTAAATCCTCTGTGCCAGGCCCCACATTGGGCGCCACCTGACTCGGCCCGCAAGTAAAGATATGGGGTAATGACCTGGAGGAGGAATGGGGATGAACAAGACAGAGCAAGAGACACAAGAGACAGACAAGACAGGCTTTCTGATCAAGTCTCGTTTATTGAGGAAGTGAACAGGGTCTAAATAGCCGTATAGTGGAAGCAGTTGGGTGGGACTAGTTGTGGATTGGTAGTGGAGGTCCAGGACCACAGGAAGATGTCGAGGCAAGTGGAGATTGGTGCTGCAGCACTTGTTGCCCAAATAAGGGAAAATATAACAGGAGCGTTTTATCACCCCCCACATTGATGTTTATCCAACAATCAAAGGCTCAGACGAAAAAAAGATAAATAAATACATTTCCTGCTTGCGCTTAAACAACGGTAGTTTGGCGACCTGAAATAGTTTTTCAATTCTTTCTAAATATAGAACTTTTATAAACAGCTATGAATTCAAGCACAACTTTACCTATATTAGAATTGCAATTGTTGTAATATAAATAAAATATTTAGACTGAGTATGATGTTTATTTCATAGAATAAAGCAGTAAAGTGTTTATCAGTCAAAGAATTTAAAAATTATATTCTTGTTGAGTCTAAAGGGCAAAAGATTAAACTCATTCTTTTCAATTTTTAGAGGCAACTGAGATTTGTTTGTACTAACAGTCCTTGGGAACCACAAAAGCAAACAGCTTCTGTTCTGAGACTTAAGTCAGCTGTAAATTCCATGACAAAACTTATACTATATAGAAAAACAATTCTAAAGTTTTTATGGATGCAGAAAATATTCAGCATTGCAAAAGTAAACCTGAGTTCTGGAGCTGATTCCCAATTTCAAAACACACCATAAGGCCACATTAACAAATCCAGCACGGCAAGGGCGTGGCAAGAAGTCGCGGAGCCGAAGAGGGGCACGGAAGGAAACCTGCATGTCCAGTCGTCAGCTGCTGGACGCGGGAGCCACAGCTGTGCCAGGGAGAAGACAGCTCCTCGACCAAATGGTGCTGGGAGAACTGGAAGTTCCACTGGACAAGATCTGAGTTAGACCCCCACTTCTCTCCTTGTATAAAAATCAGTTAAAAATTCATCAAAGGCATTGATACATGGTCTCAAACTTTGCAACTTCTCCATAGAAATAAAGGGAAACACTTGAACTTCAGGCACAGGCAAAAAGCTTCCTGAAAAGAATGCTAGTACCAAGGGATGATAAGAGTAAGAACCAAAGAATGAGATGGCAACAAGTTAAGAGAAGCTTAATGCTTCCTTTCTGATAAGCCTTGGCATGATCTAGCTTCCAGATTGTAGAGTTGCTCTCTACTGATGTCAGGATGCGCTCTCAGCGAAGGCTCTTCCTCCTAGTATACTAACATCTGCTAATTAAATGCAACTTTACGGTTCAGGTGCATACAAAGGTGGCAAAGAAAACGATCTGCTCGTGCCTTGTCTTTCGGGAGTTTGACTGTTGAGGTACACATTGGCCCCAGCATGCCCTGCCCTTCCTCCCAGCAAGCTCAAGGTGGCAGAGCTCCTTGTCTAGAGAAGGCTTCATGACGAAGGACAGGCAAGCGCTATGGCTCGCATCTGGACAGACTCCCCAAAGCCTCACGGAGTCATAGGTCGGAAAATTTGTAAGTGTCTGGATTAGGGTGTGAAGCTGGGATTAAAGGTGTCCCGCCCTGGATGTGGGAGGTGCCACTCAAAAGCTTGGCCTGGATGGAAAACACAGGAGCCGGAAGAAGCTGCTTGGCTGCTTCCCTGCCTTCCTGCCTCCCGCCTGGCCTGCACCAGGAGCCCTGGCTCCTGCACTGCTTCTCTGTGCGCACCCCTGCCGTGCAGTCCTGCGACCCTGGGAGGAGGCCTCTTCACTGTGGGCCAGACAAGCCTTGTGTCCGCTTGAGGTCTTGCGTACTTGGTCTCGGCGGGAGCAAAGCAGCTGCACAGCACAAGGCAGGGTGGGGCTGCTGATTATCGGGCACGGGAACGCAAGCCTTTCGGACGCCGCTGTTGGCTTTCACGTGCTGGAGCTGGAAAGCAGACGCTGCGGGCTTGAGTATTCAGACGTCTGGACAGCGCTTTGCAGACCAGCAGCTCTGGGAAGGCAGGCCAGGGAGGGAAGCCCAACTGGGAAGAGGAGGATGCGAGGGCGCACGCCCTTCGGCGCCCTGGGGCCGCGCTGGGAAACTTAGTGTCCTTCCACTTTGTTCCAGGCTGGAGCAAGACAGCACACTCCTGGTCAGCCCAGTTCTTGGATTTTCCACTGTGGGCGGCAGGGCAGCACTCCCAGGGGGCACACGCCAGGAGGTCCAGGTCGGCTAGAAGGCCAGCCAGCACTTCCCGCGGCCTCGGGCTCCGCAGGCTCCGCAGGCTCAACAGGTCTCCGCAGGGCTCCGCAGGTCTCCGCAGGGCTCCGCAGGCTCCGCAGGGCTCCGCAGGGCTCCGCAGGCTCAGCAGGGCTCTGCAGGGCCCCGCAGGGCTCCGCAGGCTCAGCAGGCTCAGCAAGGCTCCGCAGGGCCCCGCAGGGCTCCGCAGGCTGCAGGCTCCGCAGGGCTCCGCAGGGCTCAGCAGGCTCAGCAAGGCTCCGCAGGGCCCCTCAAGGCTCTGCAGGCTCCGCAGGCTCAGCAGGGCTCAGCAGGGCTCCGCAGGGCCCCACAGGGCTCCGCAGGCTCCGCAGGGCTCCGCAGGGCCGTGCCTGCTCCCGTCGCTGCTGGGCGGGAACAAATCGCCTGCAGGCAGTAGCTCCTGAATAAAAGGCCCCCAAAGCTTCTCAGCACACCCCACGAGTTGTGTAACTGGCCCTGCAGGGCTGGGTCTGTGAGCGGCACACTCAGCGGCGATTGTGTCACAGAGAACGCAAGTGTGTACCGCATCGCAGCAGCAGCTGTGCAGCCCGGGCGTGCGGAACATCGCGCCTGGTGAGACACCCCGCAGCTTAACTTAAGCAAACAGGGAGACTGAGCGGAGTACGAAGACAAACGCAGTTCCATGCTTATCAATCTACTGTGTCCCATTCCCAGGCTTCGTGAAATATAAAGGCTTACTCCTTTTCTTATGATATCCCTACCTGAATTACTGTGTAGAGCGCAGCGCTTGAGTAAGTAGCAGCAACCGGGAGGCCGCCGCGTTATGTCCTCGAGGCTGGCGCGGGCTGCAGGCTGAGGCGGCGGCTTCCTCCGGACAGCAGCTCTCTCAGTATTACTTGAAATTATTCTGTATGGGAAGACCACTCGCAAACACAATGTTTCTTCCTTTCGCCTCATGAAGTTAAGGATATTTTCTAGGCCATAAGCTCTGAATCCAGTCTGATTTTTGATTTTTTTTTTTTTTAATTTCTCAAGCTTTTATTTCTGGAAAGATTAAAGACATTATGGTCTTCAGGAGAAAGAAAATAAAAGGACAATGCGATCTCATATATGTGCAGCAAATGTATCACCTGTAATTTGATATATAAAAACTTGCCAAAACAGATTTTCTAATAAATCTACATTACTAACAAATTCTATGTTTGCTAATTATTTGCTCTCGTGTTTTAAGAAGTGATCATGACACAGGTGTTTATAGGAGTAAAATACTGCTCTTCATTTAGACTAAATTATTCAATTTAGTAAGATACCAATCTTCATTTAGATTCAATTCTTTGCACAATATCTATCTCAGGAATTACCTAATTTCTTTGAGGTTGAGACAAGTTTTAAACAAATACTAATCATAAAAATAATACACTGATTACCTTTAAAAATATGTCTTTAAAACCTACTGAGCATTTAAAAACATACACCAGGCTGGGAAGATAGCTTGAAAGGATAAGTGCCTGCCTGTTTGATCCCGGGTACTGCTTGCCATGCTGGCCCTGGTACCTTGGGAGCGCCTTGCCAGCCACCATGGTGCTGCACATCTGCAGCCCCAGAGCTGAGGAGGCTGAGACAGCAGGATCATCTATGAGTCCGAGCTGCATAGCAAGACCCTGTACCAAATACATACATACATACATACGTACATACATACATACAGATTTTAAAAAATGATTTAAAAACCTATACTATGTAATAAATGACATTCTGGGATGGGTCACATATGGGAAAGAAATTATGTCAAGCCTAAATACCATATCTGCTATGAGAACATCCTTGGCCATAAGAACCTCTAAGTATTTTCCTGATGTCAGGGAAGAAAGGAAGCAGGAGGGCTCAGTAGAGCTGGCATGTAATTAGGACCACAGAATGAATGCCAGCCAGTGTCGAGCAGCAGGAGGATACATGGCGGTGAGTCAGGGTGGGGACTCTGAAGTCAGGGTGCCTGGGTTCAGTGTCAGCTCAGCTACTTTGTGATGCTGACAGCTTAGTGACTCTGATGTGTCTTAGTTTTCTCCCATATAACAAGGGTCAATATTTGCCTCGTGGGTATTAAGCATATAAATGGGCTAATATGCATGGAGCTCTTAGATGAATGCCTGATATTATCATCCACCCTGATTGTCAGTGAATTTGGCTTGAGAGACACCAGGGGAACAGCGAGGTATATTTCTGGATATGTTTGGTGTGTTGTAGAAGAGTGCCTGAGGGACTCTAGCTGGTTCCTGTATAATGTGACTCTATAAAGCAAGAGTCCCAGAGACTTAGAGGGAACCTCAGAGGCTACGTGGCTCATGTCCTCCTATTACAAGGTGGAATTGGTTTCTTAAAGAGTAGATGTATCTGTGTCTCATTTATTTCACTTATGAGTATGGTCTCAAGTTGCATCCATTTACCTATAAAGTCTTCAGTTCTTCAGTTCTTTGTGGCTGAGTAATACTCCATTCCATTGTTTCCCTAGAATGAAGAAGCTCAAAAAGTAAAGAAGAACCAAAATGTACAGTGGGTATTATAAAATGGGCAGAAACTTCAAAGTGGAAGACAAATGGG